AAAGATGCGTAAATACAAGGGTGTGAGTCTAAAATTCTTCAAGTTACCAACCATCCTGGTTCAGCAGACAAATATTTCATCGTATGCATAATCTTCCTCTGGTCCCTAGATTCTCCCTCCATTGGCTCACTTAACTCTTTCTTATGGTCGACAGAACATACCTGACAACTCATGTGTCCGCTACATTCCGACTGCTGTTTTTCTGCAATGAAATTCCCATCCTTTAACCTCCTTGATGAAAAAACAAGCATCTCCATGGAGCCATTAGTGAATCCACCCTAGTATAGGATAAGTCGCGTGTCCTGCGCGCAGCCGCACCCTGACAATCTTGTCGTGGTTTGTTTGGGATGAGTAGAACCCTGCTCATTCCACCTTATCAAGTGAGTATAACGAGGCCAAGGTCAGAGATGAAAAGGAATCACCGGTAGGGTAGCATTTTGTATGCGCACCTGAGCGACTGTCTGGAACAACAAGAGGAAATTTCGCAAAAGTACGCCAGAAGTCCCCTTATCGTCAATTGTGGAGATAAGAAAAGGCAATGAGTGAACCAGTTAAACTGACCATTGCATTGTCCTAGCTCCAAACAAGTAAACAAACATCTGTCCAGGAAATAAACTAGTTCGAATTCACGGGTTAATATTCACAAAGATCACGAATATGAGACAAAATGATCAGGAAAGAACGAGTACTATCATAAATAGAGAGATAGAAAGAGAGCGGGAACAACAGAAGCAAGAAATAATGCAAGCTGGACAGGGCCAGGAAATAAACCGAACGAGTGTGAGTCCAATCAGAAATGAAACCAAGACACGGGTGTTTTCGCACAAACAACCTGGCAAAGCATCACAGATTGAGGATGGGGCAAGTGAGTGGGATGAAATGCATCGGCAATAACAAGACGATAATCTGTGGTGTGTCCTGGTTGTGGCTACTGCAAAAGGGTTCATGGCAAGCAAAACACTGACGGACAACACCGCGGAATGTGATTTAAAAAAAGACCGGTAAGGTGAAGGGCAGTGATAACAGGTGATTGAAGAAAAACAAATATTCAGGTATTCTGTGATTAGCGTGGCCGTGGCGATAAGAGCAGTTCATAATTTTTATTTTGATGTCTGGATGGCAGCTGTTCCCGAGTGCCGCTCGGTGGTTGATGAATCTTCATCGCCGGAGGATGTGTAAGAACGCGAGTCCGTGTCGGATTCGGTTTGAGAATTCGGAGAAGCTACGGTAGCCGGATTGGGTAAAAGGCTTCGGCCTACTTCTGAAGGTCTCTGTACGCGCTGAAGCCAATCAGCAGGAGCGTTTACGGGGGGAACACAACGACAGCCAAGCACTTGCAAAAGCCGAGCACAAGCTTCTTGTCTGCAAATTTGTGCATGCGTCCAAGCAGTCAGACCAAACTGGTCTGCAGAATTTACATCAGCACCATGCTACAGAGGTGGTAAAAAAGAGAAAGTACGTATGTGATACATCACTTCCACTCAGTAACTGCGATGACAAGCAAGAGCTTAATCAAGAATTGAGGTGGTTGTGTATTGGTTGCAGCGAGCCATGTTTGGCGACAAGATATACATTGTGACTCAAGCTTGTCCTGAAATTCAGGACAATCAGTATACTGAATATTGTTACAGGATTCAACTAACAGTGTCTGTCTCCTAGTTCCGGTAATGGAGTGTACACTTTGAATCATGCTGACGATGAGGTATTTCAATCTTATACCCCCAAAGAAGGCTACCATAGTTTCAACTACTTGTTTTGCCTATTCACGATGCGTTTGGTCACAGATCGTTCTGGTTACGTCAATTACCAGCTCATCGAAATCTCGTTCTGACTAAACCAAGACATCAAAAGCAACAAAAAACTCGTGCGTCACCAGGTTGGATCTGTAGCTCTTGAGTATGTTACCAAAATGGTGAAAAAGCTCACTAGGCATTTATACGAGATACAGTTCGGGATCGTCGGCAGCATCACAGTTGTCCAAGCGACATAAGTACTGAGGTAATAGTATCACACGCAGTTTAAGGGGAACTGGATGGAAACTCAGAAGTTTACTCAAGCGGACTGATGTAAACGAGCCCAAGCAAGTGTGATTTGGAGTAGTAGCTCTTTGTGTTAATGTGCGAATGGGTTGCCCAAACCGTCGACAAGGTATTGGAGTAAGGTTTGGCTTGAGGGTTTTGACAAATATTAGGTACAACCCGAGTGACAGTAGGCTTACTTGCTCCTGTCATGTGGTTCACTCATACTCGCTGGTGTGAATTCTCACTGCGGCAGTAACCTGCTACAATAACCTAACTCACCGAATCTGCCCGTTTACTGGAACAAGGATTGAACCAGTCAAGTTTCATTTAGACGGACTGTACTATTCGCCGTTCAAGAATGATATTTACATACAAGTGCGCTGCACGTTCCGAAGGGGACTTCATTTGGCCTCACCAGAGGGGACCTTGTGTCACTCCAGATAGTCTATACTTTTAAATCACGCCCACCATACACTGCAATCAAATGCTTTCTCACCTAAGCTACTGCGCTTCTCCTGCCGTGCAGCTCAACTGCATTTATCACTTTCGTACCACGATACCGATAAGGGTTAAACCGGAGCTCAGCCATTCACACCACTGAATATGGAAGCCCCATCACTCGATCTGTCGAACTGATTCGGGCCGAAGGTCATTCGGTGTACTATCTACCTGCCATAGACGACAAGTAAAACGAATGCCTGCGAAGATAATCCGGAAAACTTCCAAGTCAGATAGGAGATCCTGAACAGGAACACACGAGGTGCATCAATCTAACAAGGCTGGTCACAATAGTCGAGTTCACGTTGAATCATTGCTCGAAGGATAAGTGACTTTGGTCTTCAAACTCGGTCTTTATACTGCGCCTCCATAAGATCTCAAACGAGAAAGTGCAGTTAAGAAAGCGAGTTAGAAACTAGGCCGATCAAATATGGGCATGTTTTAGCATGCTTCAAGGCCCGCAACCTGAGAATACATGTTTTGTGGAGTGAAAAGATAGCAAGGAGTCTTCACGAAAATATTAAGATGCATTAGACGACAAATACCCGTGCATATATATATGCAACACAATTTCGTGCGCATAATAAAACCGAACGCCTGTGCGAATAGTTGGTGAGTACTAAGTGCTTCAACCCTACATACCTCCCATAAGAAAAAACAAATACACGTAATGTGACCAGGTACGATGGTTTGGGTGGTAGATACTGTATAGTGATAGGAGGACGATAGAAGTGGATTGGCAACGAAAAGAATTTCAAAAGTTCTGAAAAGTGAGGATACGGAAAGGATAAGAAAAACACATCTTAAATCATGTGTCACTACCGGTGGTCAGTTTTGAACGTCTGTCGGATTACCAATTTAGAAAATTCCTTCACTAGTACATTCAATCAACTCATTTCGCTGTAGGTTGATTGAGGTAGTGCAACAAGAGACAGTAAGTGAAGACCAGACTCGAAAGCCTGCACAGGGTCGGTGTGAAACGCGCAGATCAACGGTGCCAACACTTAGTCGTCTCTGTTGGCCATGAAACGCTTTTCATTATTGATGGTGGGGCCAGGCACACATTCATTTCGCTAATTTTATAAGCCTATCGGGCGGTTTTGACGATGTGAAATTTACAAACCCAGGATACACGAAGTCAAATTCAAACACGCTACGATGAAAATGCGTCGAGAAAATAAGAGGACACCATAATGATCTGAAACCGAATAGTAAACCGATCGTACCCATAATAGAAGCTGCAAGGAGGCCAAATCACCCAGCGCAGCAGCCAAGTGTAAGGGGGTTCGAGAGTCCCATGCACTGTAGGCCGTATTGACGGGCGATGGTTCCGTGGACGCAGTACGTGTGGAGGAACTGTTTGACAGGGCAAGACAAATCAGAAGGTTTCTCGCGTCTTTCCGCAACAGAGCATCGACCAAATCCTGCTGGGTGGGACTGCTCCCCAGAGGAAGTGGAGGGAGGAATAAGCGGCGAACATATTTGTTCTGTATCCACGCTGCCCGTACGTCACGTTGGGAACATGCTTCTGGTTTCCTGAAAATAAACGGAGATGAAAAATTTCGAATTAAAAACGAGGTACACACACTATATGTAGTGTACCAGGATAAAATTAAACAGGGGACAAGCATGGATGTACAAAGATGAACGTTACAAAAGCCAAGTTAAAATAGGGAGTATGACAAAGTACTTCCCAAGGACATCCTCCCAAAAGGAGAAGGCTCTCATGATGTGGCCTTCCTCGGTCGAACAGAAGACACCTTCCTACCCCAGAAGAGGCACCATAGTTGAAACGATATCTCATTAGGCAAGACCTTAAATTCAGGCCTATGATTGATGCAAATAGACGAGTAGCAGCAACCCGAAATATTCTCCAAAAGAAAATAAAGTAATTGTTACTTACGTACTATTCCAGACTTTCCTGGGCTTGATCAACAGTTTGGCCGGGGATACATATACAAGACCATGAACTGGAAAGCTTCTGAACTGAAGCTCCTAGAATTACGAGTATGGTAAATCAATTACCCAGAGTATGTTGGCTTCCGCTGTTACCATTTCACCCACCAAAAAGAGAACAAGGAAGGTATGGTTACGTATTGAATGCGGCGACCTGGTTAGTTGGTTTGGTGTTCAATTGCTCTAATTGGGAATATAAAAAGTTACGCGTTACAAATGATAAATTCGATGCAGATGCGCCGCGGACTGCGCGACTGGACCTAGTTCGTCAGTATCAGTAACCACCGGCGTGTCGCGTACACGCGCCCTCGTCCAAGGAGGCAGCAAATGTCAGCCTAGGAGGTCGCCGGTTCAAAACTCACTGAAGTTTCACGAGATGTGTACTGCTGATGATTCCCAATAAGGATGAAACAGCTGTACAGTGCTTCCCGGTTTTTCAACATACATTGGCTTTACTGGTAGGACGAAATTTCCATTGAAAAATTCTCAAATCTACTCACAGTATCAAGCTATTGTCAACCCAACTGAACTTATTGCTTAGGATTTTCATGCTCCTTTGTCAGATAAGTCTTTCAACGTTTTGCCGGGCAAGAGCTCTGCAAGATAAATGATCCACTGGCTCGCGAAGTACAAGGCCCAACCGGCGTGACCCATAGAGTGTCATCGGCCCGTCTATCTTGGGATAGTTGGTTTTTTCCAAAAAAACCTGGTGTACTTTTGCGTTGTCAACCCGATGTTTCTACCAGACCGAGACGATGAGATGGAGACAGTGATGTTCAAATTTTTCCGTACATTTGTGCGCAGAAGTCACCTCTCCGATCGATGAGACTGCGAAAATCGCATTAACCTACCTTTGACAAACCGACTGATGTCAGGTCGGTGTCAAAGGTCTCGAAGATCGGTCATAGCTTTTGTTATATCTGCTGATTCGTCAATCTGTGGTATCTGCTGCTGACCCGCTCCAGTGCCTAGTGTCGGAGAGAAAAGACTCACAGAAGGGAACACAACAGCTGTATCCCGAACAAGCGAGTGAGTGAGAGAGTAAAATTTACAACGGCCCCACGCTATTTANCTTTCTGACATTGATCCAGGCTATCTGATAGGCGTTAGTGATCACCCATCAACGTCGATCGTGTCTCTGTGAAAAGCCTGAACGCTGATCACATTCGATCGTGCTTCTGTGGCCGCAAGAACACTCATCAGGTTTTGCTGAATTGATTGAATGATTGATTGGCCTGGATGCTTGCAGGCTTCCCAGTTGAGTTTTTGGTGGAACAGTAGATTCCGGGCGTTCTGAAGTTGCTTTCAGGAATCTGACCTTCCTGATACCTTTCTACTTAGAGAAGGAGTGTCGAATTCGGTCATCCTGCCTGAAGTGAATTTGCCTATCACGACCAGTAACTGGCCTGCAGAATTGAGAACGGGATCTGGTCCCACCTAGTCTGGTGATGACTCTTTATATTTGGCACATGTGGAGCGCATTCCTGACCGTACGACAGAAGAAACCAGGTTACTGAAAATGACTTTTACAAATGACTTTTTACAAACTATGAGAAATTTTGTTTAAGTTCCCACTTGACATGCAGTGCAGTGGTTTGTTGGTTAGTATACGATGGTAAGATTGTTCCGTGACCGGACAGCTCTAGTTCACAACTTCAGTGTTCAGAGATACTATGTGACCAAAAGGGCTTTGTTGGTTGGTCAACGTTTTTCGCAAAAAGCTTTCGTGTGTGTGTGTGTATGCATTTTAATTACTCGAAAACACCATGGCCAGTAAGATAAGCTTTCATAATGCCAAAAAAGGTGACATTTAAGACAGCACTTAACTGATCGGTGCACTGGACCAAAATGTTAATGTGTTCGCCCATAGTCTTGTATGTGGTGCAATGGATGAACGAAAACGACAAAGCTGACATACGCACAGAAGCGATAAGACACAGTAAACTGTTTGTTAGACTTGTACCACAAACAATGTAAGCTCAGTTTGCCGATGTTAGTGCAGCAAAGCTATTGTCTGTGATAGCAGATTGATGTGCAAGGCTAAAGTTTGGTTCGATTAGGGCGAATATTCAAGTCGTTCGAACTGATTAGACAGTACACTGAACGTCAGACAATGAAAAACGGTTTCAGAACTGCCACAGATAACTCAAAGATCCAAAAGGGTAGTCCCCTCCCAACAAGCAACTTCTCAACACTCTCATCTCCTCATACTCCACAATTCTGTTCTCCATGGGGCGAATCTACTTCCCAAGACTGTGAACTCCATGATATGTGACAAAAAACGAGTGTTCCGAAGAGAAACCTGGGGCTAGGTCAAGCAACCACTGGCTTCTAAACCAATTGACCCAAATGAACAAGCTCAAATTCAAACCGAGGATCATACTGTTACCAATCGGAAAGTGACTGGTTGGTTAAGGTAGAAATTTTACACACTGCAAATTGAACTTAGTCCTGTATGCCAGTGGGGACGACAGCAAGGCGTCAGTAGTAAATATCAGTGATTAACTGACACAAAAATGAGAAAAGAACATTAGCAAACAGTGAGATAGAAGTAGAAGACACCTGAGGATCAAGAAAGTGTCGACACTTCGAGTAGCATTGAGATAAACACAACTGAGCACTATGCCGGAATGAGGCGCTACCAACAGGATCCTCTACAGACCACAACCAACACAAGTCAGGTGCAAAGCGACAGGCGAAAGTTAGGAGAGTCCTTCATCTACCCAGGTTGCCTTGTTAAAACGATTTTTGACCAGTCAACCAAACGGTTGAAGACAAGATAAGCAACCATGATTTGCATGCGAAAAACCCATGGTATGCTTCCTCAGGGAACCGGTCCGGTGCTCCCTCGGAAAAATCAGGTAACACATCGTATATATATAGGCAGGAATAGCGGCTGAACTGAAACCGCCAAAGAATCGCTTGAACTAGACTGAATACTCACGACAACTAAACTTCAGTACCTGTTTGAGTGAGCTACGAGCTCGTCACCGGATCCGAGAAGTAAATCCACTATTCCCCAACTGAAGTAATGTACCAATGCACCCGGATAACAGATGCGCAACACAGCCAAACTCCATTTGCCAAGCATAGTGTGAAGGAAAGATACAATGTCACGCACGTCTCACATGCAGCCTACCGATTGTATGAATGCTAAATATTCCTTCTTAATGTACAAATTAGAGGCACCGGTTGTAAAAATGACTTTTCACCAGCCGAAGCAAATTTATGCGGTCGTACTCCAGCGCGCCACGACTTAAGGTGTGAACGCCGCCTCCGAACGCAGACAAACAGGCACCAGATGAAAGTACACCTTCCGCAAAATGGTGTGAGATTACGCTAGGACCAAACACCCAGCCAAGCGGAGACCCGGTGACTAAACATGAACCTGAGCGTGAACGTTACAGCGTAAAGACGATGAGCTTCAAAGGACAAGGTCAATCAATAGTCATGCTGTAAGCCAAACGATTCTATGCGTGACTTCATCCGTCCAAATCAAAGTTCAGCAGTAGCACCCATTCGGTGCCTAACTGCCAAACCACCAAGAGGCACAAGGGCTAGAATACTTCCAAGTTGCCCAAGCCTAAAAAGAGGAAGTCGAGAGGCGGAGGTCGTGCCGGAATGAACTCGTTTTGTAATGTAAGGAACAGGAATAAAATCGAGTTTGAATACGAGGTATTTAGCAGAAAGTTTTCTACAAGCTAAGTCGGAACGCTGGGAAATCCTTTTGTCACGTCACTCAGTTGAACTGGATCAAAAAACGCCGTTGAAATATGGGCGACATTGACTCTCATTCATGTTGCCGAGTACACAGAATCCTTTCATGATATAAGTACCGTGTTCGATGCTCGCTTAGGGGAACCAAGATGCGCTTCCATGCTTACCAGTGTTCTACAACTATTTAGTGATCTCCTTAGGTATCTCAGTTTCCCTCACTTTGTTTCTTAAAGAATAATTTCATCGCCAAAGTTAGGTACAGTTGTGCTTGCCACACACAATTGCACTCTAATCTGATGAAGGTTCTCCATCAGCAGGATTTTTTCCTACATTTTCAGCATTTTCAGTTCTTTACTCCAAAATATCAGCCGTAAAATTACAGCGATGGTGTTAGTCTCTGTGTACGAAACAACAGTTTCACCCATATGCGGGACCAATCCAAGTCTTATCATAGCTACCCTACCGCATAACGTCATAGCAATAGCAACACTTCCGGTGTCTTAAATGCGAGACAACAATAAATGGTGTATTTTCTTTTCCTTCCGGTCCATGTGTGAAACCGTATCATCAACATCCTCATCTAACCAAGTGGGAACGGCACTATTTTATCATTTGTTTAGCACTTAAAATACTTTTCATCCAAAAACTTTTCGCTACTTTCAGCAACTGTGTTGTACAGGATAGCATATTAGCGTTTGGGATTTTTTGTGGAGATTTCATCCTGTAGGTGAAACCAATCTGTGCTGAAAAGCCACAAAAAACCCCAAATCTCCTCACACTACGAACAATCTATAAGTAACTCAGTGGAAGGATAAACTTCGCCCGATGAGTGAAACGTCCTCTGAGAAGTCGTTGCTTAAGGAGCCAGTCAACACGTGTGACCGCGTGATGTCGATCCAATGATTGAAGGATGAGCGGCGCTATATCCTGTCTAAGTGCGAGTTAATCACACTGCTGATCAGCCACTCGTGGCCGAATGGTTAGGTGTTCAAACTACTAGCCAGGAGGTCGCGGGTTCGAGACTCTCCGGAGTTTCGTGAGATGCGCACTGCTGATGATTCCCAATAAGGATGAAACAGCTGTACAGTGCTTCTCAGCTTTTCAGCACAGATTGGCTTCACCTACAGGACGAAATCTCCACAAAAAATCCCAAATCTCCTCACACTACCAACAACCTATAAGTAGCTCAGTGGAAGAATATTACCGTATCATTCATTGGCGTGCGCAGACTACCCTTGCATTAGTTTACCCATGTAGTCAGGTTTATTCTATAGACACGACAGAGCCGTTTGCCTTGGTTTTCGTCTAGCAGGATATCAAAGCTATAAAGAGTTTTATGGTTCTTTTGAGCTCATACACAAGGTGAAGTTACGGAGGCCGGAAAATTGATAAAGCGCCTGCTGTGCAATACCATTGGTACTCTTCTCAAACGACGAGGCGACTTCAAAGATCTCAGTAAGCGATGTGTGCTACCGATTGCACCATATGTGTAGTAAATGCAATTTTTGGTTGCAAGTGACTATACCACGGTACATCCTCCTATGAAACGCAGAGCCCTTCTCTTGGAGAACACAAGTTATCAAAGCCAATTTTTTTGAAACAAGCAAGAAAGGGGCCAAATCTCACTCCATGAGGTAAAACATTTAAGATGAAGTAACCGGTTGAACTCCTGACGACAGGAACTCTAAACAAAGATGCTAATCATTCTGGCCTTTGGCGCACTGCAGACGACTTTTTTCTATTAGTTTCACACTCTAAAGCCTCTCAGAAGGTTAGTACGCTCACCTAGGGTTATTTAAAAGCGCCCCGGAGAAGGGTAGCTTCAAACTGTCTATCGAGACCATTTTAAGTGCCCCGATAGTAATTTTAGTGTCTCTCGATGTGAATCTAAGATGTCCCAAAGGATGACAAATTCTCACTGGTTCATAACACCGTGCAACCCATTTCGGAATATAACCCACTTGTTCAGTTACCGGACACCCTTTGGATGGGTTACATACACATACACGCGCGGGCACTTTTTCACTCAGAATGCAATGCATAAGTAACTCCACTCGTCACTTTCAGGTTAGCATGTAAAAAATTCCTTCAGCCGTAACGCCCTTCCGGTGCCTAGCTGCCATGCTACCTGAAGGAAGCACGAGGGCTGGGATACTGCCAGGTTGCCCAAGCCTAGACAGTGGAAGTTGAGAGGCAGAGGTCGCGTTAGAACCACGGACCTTCCGATCAGTAAATCCGCGCTCTAACCACTTGAGCCATCTCGCCCCAGGCCAGCTGGTACGTGTTACGAATTGGCCAAAAGTTAGCTATGCATGTAACTCGGTCTAATCGTAATGGCATTTCACACGCATATAACAAGTTGGATAAAGAACAAGGACCTCGGAAAATGTCTGTGTTTGGGTTACTATCACAGAAGAATATCAAAATAATATTGGAATCCAGCATGAATGAAACCTCCTAGTACATACACTCGGGACTGGATGATCAAAAAAGAGGCGTTATCTCACTTCCTGCACGGCAGTTCTAGGGTCGTTTGTTTGAGAACTGTTGGTCTTGTCTGTTAGACAACCAAGTCACCGAATCTGAATTAGGTCAAGCTATCCAACCACACTTGAATGATCGGATAATTAGCACTTGCTTTCGGTTAGTCTGCCTGAAAGCGACGAGTAAAATCATGCATGCATCGCATTAGTCTAAGTGGAAGGTGAGTGTGTGTTCATGTCTATGCAATGTATCCATGGGGTATCCCGGTAACTGAGCGGATTCCGAAAAGGGGTGCATGGTGTTATGTGCATGCCAGAAGATTTCGTCCTTAGATTCACACCAAGGGACATAAAAGTGACTTGGATAAACAGGTTGAAGTAACTCACGGGACTCTTCAAAATAGCCTTAGGATAACGCAGTGCGATCTCGAGAAACCTTAAAGTAAAAACGCATACTTTGTATCTATCTATCAATCTGTCTATCGGCTAAAAAAACCTACCGGAACTGCTTCGCTTGCGATGGGGCCGCTCCCTCCCAGACTGAGTTGGCCAAAGTGTTACCAAATGAGGTCATGACAGCTAAGTGTTCACGAGTCCACGTATCCAAAGTGGCCGAACGCACACGAGAGATGTGGGTACCCAATTCGCGATGAACTCCACTACACTCAATGCAAATGAGAACGACCAAATTCAAACTTGCCCATTCAGGATCTGAAAGAAAATAAGAAGAAGTCTTCCGCGATCCACCAGGCTGAGGTTGCTGACTGACTTTAAGTGTGTAAACAGTGAGCTACTTGTTTGAATCATAACAGCTTTGAATAGGCTAATGGTCATCTGGATGCTAGGGAGCGGTCATGAAACATGGATCACCCTGAATACATCAAATAAACGTGACACGACTTTGTACTATACTGGTAAGCGAAAACCATGTCGTGTCACCATCCAGCTCTTTCTACTATCCTAATTTATGTGGATAGAGAGCTAGAAAATTGCTTAACAGTGACGGGCCAAAATAAATCGTATTCCTAGTCCCAAAGAGTTCCGGATTGAAGGTTATTTGGCTGATGGTAATCATCTATTCTACTTGGATTCTGACAGTAACGTCGACAACGTTTTTGATTGGTCCAAGTGTGTGCGAGCTCTTTTTGAAAACCACGCGCAAGAAGATTAAAGAGGCGCACTACTGAGAGTAACCGAACAGCAAATCACGGCAGTCAGAAAATCGACCAAGTGGAACCAAGCGTTTTGGCCCAGCGGTTTTTGAATGATTGAAATTGTGGTCTCACAACTTAATCTCGTTAGAGCTATCTCAAGTTAACGTGCGTGCTCGTTTCCGCTCGTGGGCCATCGTAGGATTGCATGCCCAAAACATCTTATGAAAACTATCGAGCGTCGGCAGTTGTTACATATCATATTTAGGGGAAAAGAGGTCAACCCTAACCTTCTCTGAAGTGAATCGGCAGTTATGCTCCAGATATTTCTGAGACAGTGGTTTTGACAAAGACATATTAGATGTCCAAAACACGGCAAATAAATAACCGTTGTTGATAGTGGATATAAACAGTACAGTTCGTCATTACTCCGTGGCACCCAACAACACAAATGCCCAACAGTGTCAGGCCAACCAACCGAGTGGCTTGAGCATCGGGACAAGCCGGTAGGCGAAATTTCGTGCACATCCAAAAACGATGGATAACTTCAAGATGGTTAACATGAGGAAACGGGCAGTCAAAGCCCTGGGTTTGAGAGAACTCCAATACTGCGGAACAGAGAAGTCAGGTTAGCGAACAGAACACATTAACTCACGAGCTGCACCACAGTCTGCACAACTATCATTCCCCGGTAAGGCCGTTAGACGTTTCAATACTTCTTCCTGACCACAGACTTCTTCACCAGCGCCGTCTTTGAAAAAGCCAACAGCGCCGGTAGTGAAAGACAACGGTCTTCCGTAGTTCACGACCCTTGGTGTGAAGCGCTGTTCCCCGTTTGCCCTCGTTCCGGCCAGAGCAAGTGGGCTGGTGTTATTCGTTTCGCAGGCAGAGTCATCCCGGACTCCCGAAGAGGAAGATCGTAGTCGGCTGTGTATGACAGCATCAATATGTTGAATCCAATCGTCGCGCTCAGCTTGAGTGGGCGCTTCGAAATGCCACTGTGTGCTGTCCGCCGTGACAACAATGAATTCTTGATTTTCCGTATCTGCAGTCATTAAATAAAATGCTTGCGAATCAGCGGGGCAGCTGGAACTATTCTGGGTGGAAAACCCATATATGCTGTGGACAGCTAACCGAGAAAGTATAGTGGGATTACAAGCCGTATTAAATAATTATAATATTCGTTCAGTTGTAACACCCTTTTGACGCCTAACTGCCATACCACCAGAAGGAAGCACGAGAGCTGGGGTACTGCCAGGTTGCCCAAGACTAGACAGGGGAAGTCGGGTCCGAACCACGGACCTTCTGGTCAGTAGATTCGCGCTCTAACCACTGAGCCATATGGGCATGAAGGCGCTCCAACTTTTGACTTATACGAACCAAAACTACCCCAATAGTTAACACAAAGAATTTATACCTTTGGCCACGTTCGTACCTTCCACAAGCACTTCATGTACTTGTGACTTAAGGACAAGAATCATGCGGAATACTTTTGTCTTAGTAGTTCTTCTAGTCAGATAAACAATAAGACAGGTTAGTCAATCACACATGCATTCCTAAAGATCGATGACATTGCTAACTGAAGAATGTTTCGGAGAGGACAAAAAATCAGTATGACTGGCTAATTTGGTCACGGTTATGTGTTTTTGCTGGTGTGATCCACTTGCATTAAGCACACATTCTGGACGGAAGGGTAATGAGATCACTGGAAAAAACACACCTAACTGCATAGTTTTTTGTATGGTGGAAAGCAAGTACAGTTTCAATTGATAAGGAGGAAACCAGTTGGCTACATAAAGCAATCAATGGAGGTGGAGGTACTATGGAGATCACTCCAAGGGGGTCCCACAACCTAATCTCACACTTTCAGGTACAGTCCACAAAAGTCCCACTGCAAGAAACTCACTTATCCAGGCCTTTTGGAATAATAATACGGCTTTCAATAAAGATAAAGGATGATAATGAAATTTGGAGCCGCATTAATCTCTGAATTTGGAAGAGAGCGGTAGCTTGAAATGAGTAAGAAACCAAAAGTCTCAGAAGCAATTCAAGTTATGCGCCTCTTGCGTGTGACCCTAAGACGACTCCAACTGAGGACGACATGACCTGGTTAAAGAACTGACTGAAATTCACTGGGATTAACCGTAAAGCCCAAATTAGTATCACTCTCTTTGTCAACAGTGAGAAATGAACAAACACCTTCCTTTCCCTCAATGATCGGGGCTGGTCGAAATCTCGCTCTTCATGGAGGCGTTGGACCGCAAAAGGCACCGGCTTGAGGGCATAGAATTTCGGCACTTTCTCGTACAGTTTGTAAGGAAACAGAAACACAAAAATTGTGGACGAATGCCTGTAGTATAGCTAGTTTTGTTGAATACGTCTGGACACGTTCGCGGTTAATCTGCCACGCGAAATGGTAAGTTCAAGAATGAAGCAAGAAGGAATGCACAACCCTTTTTGACACACGCCACTGGCTCGTCGGCTGTTATTTTCATGAAAGACAGTTGTTCCTTTTACGTCACTCGTCTGAAAATTGCTGAAGCCTGTGTGAACATCGTGGCGAACGTTCCACTGAACCGAATTTAATTTAGCTCCATCATTACAAACCTCATGTAATGTAGATCAGAACGGCTAAAGTATGTCCAGAGTGAGTCTCACTAAAGCTTGATTTGAACATGAACCATGTGCGTGAAGTACGTTGGTTCGTTAGTCTAGATAATTATGACGCATATGCTTCCGTGAACTGAATGACTCCAGTCCTCAATTGAGGTACCTTAAAAGTTTAAAACCAAGATGCATCCTTGTGTTAGTTGGTGTCTAGCGCAATCTAGAGAACACTTTCCATCGAATGGCTTCTACTGTCCCATTTCTTTCTATCTGAGCAGTTGGAACTGCAATTTTCGTCATCGCACGGTATATGCGCAACCTAGATGATAAACTCGTTCTGTCTTGCAATCGTCTCACGGAAGTAAACATAACCCCCGTAATAAGAACAAAACGGGAACCGGACCATTTTATCCTCGTTTCGGCTCATCTAGGGTGCAACAACTTTGTGGCAGAATAACCCCACTAGTAAAGACAGTAGGTTCAGATGTAAGCTGAAAATCTCGACAAGTATTTGTGCAAGTAATACGGGTGAAGCTATCAACAATAAGGCAAATCAATGACACACTACCTACCTCTACTCTTGTGACGGTATGTCTAAAGAAGAGCGAACACAGGTGGAAGGGACAAGAGGCTGAGTTTTCCTGACCGTATTAATGGGTTACATGTGGCTTCTAAAAGCGCCAAAACACTGCTTCACATTACCATTACACTATGTTCAGTGCTCCCAGATAACTGCCCAAACAGGTATACCTAATGCATGTTTTGAACGAGCTAGTCACTAGAACCAGGTGATCGTGTGAATACGGCCACGAGCCACAATACACAGAGCAAATCGTTTCTCTCCACAGCATTTTGTAAGGAAGTGATCGAAGTTCAGTTCAGACCTAATGAAAGAGGAGAAGTTGGACCAACGTTGTATAATAAACCAGCTTTGAATCTTTGCTGATAGTTCATCCGATAATTAACCATCTGCCAAAAACGTATACATCAACTGGGACTACAGCACATCATGGCCAGATTTGGAAACCCTTAGCAGTAACTTGTATTCTACGGGGACCTTGAAATGGCGGCTAATCGACGTTAGTGACGTTCGTGTTGTTAGTTTCTTTCCAGGTTATCTAATGGAGCGCTTGGAGGTGTGGGCACCTCAGAATGCTTGACATAGGCCAGCACTAGGTCCCTTCCCCACCCACTCTTTTTCTCTATTTTTCACTCTGGGGTCTTATATATAATTAGACATCTTATGGTTGTACGGCAGTGAAGCATCAGTGTCAACACTGATGTTGCCGTCCTTGATGATGATGATGATGGACTTTGAAATTCTTGAAGAAGCAGATAGTCTCATGGAGTTCACTTTGGTCCCGAGAAACTCAAAAAGCACACTAAATATGCAGTGCCCGCAGAGGAAAGGATAGTTTGAAACTGAGGTGAAATTCGGAATGATCTTCACGACGAAATGGACACCTGACGGCAAGTGAACTACCAGGTTCACAAATGGTTTCACTCTCAAAAGCAGATCCAGTCTAGTAGGAACGGACACCCACCGTTGTCAGAGTAATGTTCCAGTGGCTGATAATGGTGGATAGTTGAAGCCTTACGCTAATGAAGAATCCACATACGCAACGCAGGATCGGTTCGTACGACGACGTTCATAGATGTGTTGCTCGCCGCTTCATAACCCAGACTGCTAAAAGTAGTTCAGTCGGTTGAAAGTAGCCCTTCATTGGGTTTTTCGTCCCTTCTCCGATTTGATTGGATGGGGTTGATTTGACAAAAAAATACCTACTGGAACAATTGGGCACAAACACACTGTCTGTCTTCTAGAACAATTCAAATGTTCTGAACTTTTTTGCTGAATTTTTCACACAGAAGGATTCTGAAGAATCCTCTCCTTTGGATGTGAGAAATGACAGATGTGATTATTAGGAGATCCTCAGCAGAAACACCAACGAAGAGTGTCACATTACAAAGTCGAATACTGGTGATAGGTTTTCCTTATCGAATCGCTTTTTATTTCAAAAGACTGCCAACCCAACTCAGCGGATGAAAGTTGTGTACCACGTACGATTTCAGTAGAACCGATGGTAGGGTCTTCCCAAATAAACGTATGGCTGTCTGATGCGAATATGACATTGTGACTGGGTGCGGACCTTGCCTGTGATGTGATCAGAATATCCGTGTGATACTTAGAGAACCTCTTATAATAAGGTTAACGGATCCGGTTCTGAACACATCATTCTCCTCCCTTCAGGTTAAGAGATGTGATGACCTGCCTTTGAAATTTGGATTATGATGGTCTCATGCCGACCAAAGCTTCATTGCCATCAGGTTTTTGGCTAAAATTCATGCTTCTGCATCTCGGGAGCATCGCACAAAATACAGCAGTTAGGAACGAGTTTTCTCACACTGGTCTTTCTACCCATATTGATGACCATACCACTCGGTTTTATAATGTTCAAATCCTAGATGCGTGTATGAGGTTTCCACTAAACAGACGGTACTTCGGCACTGCAGACATAAGACACCTGTCCCGGAACTTTCGAGGAAACCATACAGTAAAAGATCCACCAAAAAAACCACCACAGAGAACGGAGCCTCCCTCACTTCGAGGGAACATCATACTAGGTTTTGTGCAACAAAACGAGAAGTCTCATTTTGGAGGGATCTCGTTCAATGAAGCCGCTCTATAGAAAAATTCACTGGGCGCTATGAGCGTGGTTCTTAAACCAACAGTCCTACCAAAAAAGTGGGCCGTGCGAAACCTGCACCGATATCGGATGAGACCTGTTATCAGTTCCAGGAAAACGATTCCCTTTAGCTTCGAGGGTGCTCATTCTTCATATGGTGGGACTATAGCAAGAGACCATACGAAAACAATTTCTCGCGGCCGCTCGAAGGCGTGTACACATTACAAAAAACTGACCTGACGGGGAATCCGAAACTGCTGCTTTGGCTCGCTTATAATGCCGTTTCATGGCTTCCTTAAGAGTGCGACCAGCAGGGGCACGCGTCTGAGAGGGGTTCGGAGAGTTCTTATTGACACTGCTTGACTGCGAAACATCAGGTGTGTGAGGCGAATCGGTCGTAGTATGATGCGCATCGGCTTCTGTAGTAAAAAAGGTATAGCAGAAGTGATCTTCAGCTAGCAATGACTTACGTGATCACAGTTAAATGGTTAAGTGTGCTACGTATGGGACCCCACCCTTGTTAACAATCCAGTCTTACTGGTTATTACACACACTGTCGTGGGTTGGCGTAAACCAACAGTGTATTCCTCTTTTCCCTGTGTAAATTGGATAGAAAGCGGATGTATTAGTCCCGCGATTCGTTCCTCTCCTAAAAGGAACCTCCCCGCAAACTTTGGCATTCGGAGCCACTGGAAAATTTAGGGACCACGTATTTTCCGAATGCCAATGAGTTCATGAAAAGCTGGCTAATAAATACGCTGGACTCGAAAATCCATGAATCCATCGAACTTTCACCAGTCACTTCATGAAGGTGTCTCGATTCGCGCACCTTCCAGTCACACAGTGGCAAATGCAGGGTAGAACATTCTGCCTCCGAATGCTTCTCCAAACCGAAAGATGCGACGCAACCCTAACCTTCCGGCAAAAATGTATTACAGAAACATCCTGCTTAGTTATGCTTCAGTGTAAACCAATAACCCTATTGTGAGGACGGTTATTAAGTAAGGGTTGATGTAAAGATGAGTACAAATGAAGATAGAGGCATAAAAATACCGAAAATGCGATAGTTAGAGGCTCGTTTCATCCAATTCGAAGCGGTGACTGTGCATCGGACCAAGTGAGATGAAAAATAAATGGATTCTGACCGTTTTGGTGATTGGCCTAGGGAAGTAGAGCTGGTGTCATCCAGTTATGAACAACGACTGGGGTATTTTTCAGAGACGAAACTGATAGATTGCGTTCGACTGAAAAGCGGAGACAACTGGTCGATATGACAATGCTGGTTTAGCAGGGAATTCAAAAGCACTATGCGACGATAAAACGATGAGCTTGAAACCACAATCCTGAGGTGCGCATTCATAACAGTAAGCTGGACGTGCAGTAACGTATTACCAGATGGCAACCAATCTCCATAGACCGATCGAGAAAGCAGCCAAAGTTGTCTATCTCTGGAGAAACCGTCTTAGGGACCAACCAGAATTTGAACCCATTAGGCTAGGGACCAACCAGAATTTGAACCCATTAGGCGGTTGTTCACGGTTGAAGGTGGTTTCTTTACACGATAATAACAGTATATCGTATGCAACGTCTAATCAATAACGGATTGAACGGATAAACTGTCTAGCAGCGCTCACTGCCTTGTTACAATGGGGCCCAAAAGGTACACAGCACACACAAGTACACACGAAGGTACTCAGCCCCGAGTGAAACGCAGTATGATGATCACGGAACACTCCAAAGAATTGACTTCAGTTTATTGGGTTAGTTACCCAGCATATGAGAAACTAGAGTATGATGTCAGGAGTGCCACCTTCTTTCGTATCAATCAAACGATCGGTGCAGAAGCCCCATAAAAGCAAACCACATTGTACCCCACACACAAAACGGCGACAGCTCCCTCTTACTCGAATGTGTCATCACTTACAGGCGAGACGTACTAAAGGCGCACATCAAACAAGTGATTCAAGAGGCTCGGTGTAGAACACAAGCAAGATGTCTGGTCTCGCAAGCCGCATCGCAACTCTACCGCTAAAAACCAAAAATGTCCGAAAATCAGTTTGATAGACTAGTAACAACCGGTGGTGGTAACACGCGACTTGTCTAGGTATGACGCTCCAACGAACGGGGCCCGGACGCGGTAAACTCAGTAAGACATGTAATGTAAGCAATGTGTGACAGAAAGGCGGGCGCCATATCATTAATTTAGGCTGGGTTGACGAAGTATTTGTGCACATCGCGCGTCTGACACACCAGACAGAAAAATACGCTTTCGTTAACAGCTTGCACAAAGCCACTGTCCTAAACAAGCGGCAGTCATGTCCTACGATCTCAAATGTACGTAACCTGAGCCAACAGAGTTCAGTAGAATAAAATGGACCTATTCATCTGAACCATTCGCTGATAGCCAAGCAGGCCGGTCAAGTTTGAAAAAACTGTTTGTTAACCATTTTTGTCACGCAACAGGCCCGAGAGTAGCATATATCAAATGATTCCCACTCACGCTCGATGGAACTATTAAAAAACGAAGTAGTTGATTCCATTAGGCTACTAAATCCCGTCCGTGGCGTAGAACTTAGGCTGTTTCGTCCTTTTGGTGTACTGCTAGTTGTTGACGTGTTTGGGTTGGACGGTAGGATGAATGAACTGTTCATCTCCGTAACGCATTGGTTCATTGGGGAGGATTGAGTAGAATCGGTCGAGGGCGCAACAGCTCCCGTGGCATAATTGCTCATTCGATAAGCTAATCCGGGTAGTTTCACGGTGCTGATCGTGAGGTCGATCCATTTGCAATGTTGCCGATTGATATAATCCTGTGTGGTAAGAATATGCAAGTGGAGAGAACATCAGTAGCCTAGGTCTTAGTGATGCCTGTTGGTTTATTCGCTGAGCTGAGCAATTGGGCTGCAAACGCTTGATCACCGGTGCGTTGTGAGTGACAGTGCATCGAGGTTAGAAGTGTACTTTCCACGCCTTTCCACTCACAACGCACTGATGATGTCACCTCAACTGATTAAACGTTCGTAACCAATTTGGCCATCCCGGCGAAAAAAACCAACGGTAAGAATGACAACATTACTGTATAGGCGTTTGGAGAATTAAAACAAACACGGTGCGAGGAAGAAACGATTGGATGTCAACGAAGTTCTACTGCCTAGCCGGGGGCGGATGCAAGAATCTGAAATGACTCTTGGGCACCACAAAGATAAATATGAAAACAACTATTCCAAATATCGGGACGACCAACGGATTACATCAACCTTATGACCAAAATTAAGGATACCTAGCTTATGAACATGGAAAGTGCAACTCATTGGCTGATCCTTCGATGTGAAAAAACGTCGTAGAGTATGACAGTTCGTGACACTAGCTACAGATTATGGATAGAGAAACATGACAAAAACTCACCGCATGAACAAGCATTACAGATAAGAGCAAAAACTGATGATAATAAAATCAATGATTCGAAAGAGGCTCGTTGCTTGGGGATAATAAACATGAATAAAGCTCAATAGAGAGAGGACGGGTAGCAACGTTCTGAATGAAACAGCTAAAGGATGTTACGGAGTATCGTCAACTGCATGGGCAAGCTGCATCAAGCTGATATGCAGTGATAAGCAAGCTGCATCAAGCTGATACGCAGTGATGGCAGTCGTGTGCTACTGGTTAGGCGTCGCCGCAGTGGTCAAAAAGTTGATCAACAAGACCTAATACGAAAAAATCTGCCGATTATTAGCACCTGTGATTGTAAAAAAAAACAAGCTACCCGGTGCGACAGTATATAAACGTGTTCATGCAATCTGTTCCTCTGACGACAGACCTGATGACCTAGGGACTTCGATGATCTGTAAACAAGTCTCACAATCGCTGTGACACAATCGGTGGAAAGTACTTTACAAGGTGTCAATTTCTATTATAAGTCTTGAAATAGCAAACCTAACCCTTATTCCGTATGCCCCGGAAGCGTCAAACAAGGCATTTATTCGACATATGCAACACAGTTCACTCTCGTCTTTACAGATACCTATTCCGATATATTGATAATTCATGTTTTCTATGATTTGGGTTTGAGGAAGACAGGTTGTTGCATCGCGGGAAAAGAAACCACTAGGAAGGATAGATATGACTACCCGAGATACCTCTGCAGTAAGTTGTTCTCTAATTATTTTACGAGTAGAAACAGTCTAATCCTGAGTTGGTGCGCATCCCGGATACGTCCGGAAGGAGGTTGCACATGACACCGAGGAGACCATAATGAGGGAGAGGATGTTTGGTCTCTGTTCGGAAAGGTACAAGCTAAATCGCGGCTGACGTGGGATAATATTGCGGATTCCCTGGCCTCTCTTCGGATTCGGGACGGAATAAAATGTTTGACAAACGAGAGGGAGAATCGTACAGAGCATTGCATCGTGCTGAATCTGTGAATATTGTGCGTAAGGACGTGCGAAACTAGTACCACTGAAGATGAGCTTCAACACTATTTGTGCCAATGCTCTCATCGCACGACAGCAGTTGACGAACAGATGCCAAATGACAGTGTGCAGGTAGTTGTGGGGGGGGAAGGGGTTATAAACAAAGTGGACACTTTTCGAAACCAGTAAACGTTTGAATCCCAATTTTTAACGGACCAAATACTGCACGTTAATCGCATAAGAACGAAGGCCGCAGAAAGGCAGAAAACTACGTTTGTTTCATTTCACTATTCCAAATAGCCAATATTATCTCCATAGGGCATCTGTTCTGTCCTTTTTTTAAAAAAAAAAAGTGGATACAAAATCTGAAATGAGTTGACAGATTATGGATAAAAAGGAAGAATCGCTGAGATGATAGGAAAGATAAGTGTGAAGTCTAAATAATCACCACTCGCGTGGCATTTCAAATAACTTTGGAAATTCCTCTATCCCCCTTCGATACGCTGCGCTGTTAATACCGCAATTATCTGGACTCTGACTTCTATTTTGCTACTTAGGAAGGTAAGGCAAGAGAGACAATTTCGGTTGGAATAGGACACTAAATTCCCGGATACTCAAAGTTTCAACTATGGGCATAAACAAAAAAATAAATCATTCAGCTGTAGCAACTTTTCGGTGCCTAGCTGCCATGCCACACGAAGGAGGCACGAGGGCTGGAGTACTGCCAGGTTGCCCAAGCCTAGACAGGGGAATTCGAGAGGCGGAGGTCGGGTTCGAACCATGGACCTTCGGGTCAGTAAATTCGCGCTCTAACCACTTGGTCCAACTCGCCCTCCAACTATGGGCAACCTTCATTTCGAACTTTACATTGGTTTCACTCAACGACATGCTGTTCTTAAGGCACCGTAACTTATCACTCGCCTATTTTAAATGTTCAGGCCGCTTGCACAAGAGAGAGAAGAAAAGACTGTGTTCTTCGAGTACGTGAGATCAGTGACATACCTGCTTCGATGGATGGTACGCCAGTCGGGCATCTTCAGTGATTACAACGTATTTCTTTTTCCTCTTCACTTCCTTACTAAGACGCTGTACTGTGTGCTTGTACAGATAGCCCTGTTTCAACGGAATCAACCGCCCGGCACCCAAGTTGTCTCGTTGTTTTGTTGAACTCGAACCGGAATGCAATCCCATGGTGCATAGTGTGGCTGATGCGAGACCAGAAAGGGGGCCTGTCAAAGATCCCGTAGATTGCGGACGCGGTCTATCGCGTTTGTTCTGTTCATCAGAAAGACGCTGGGTTGGTTGAGGGGTACTGTTGTTCAGTGATCCTGCTTCCATATCCATACGGTGCTTTAAGTGAAAATAACAATAACTTACTGAGGAACGTAAAAAAGACAGCGCAATGAAAAAGGTAATCTATGATCATGGAACGAGTTTCGGTATGACAGTTGTTGATATCTAGGTGATTTGGAAGTTTGTCTGCGCACTGCTGCAGCACATTTCCGGTGCCTAGCTGATGTAGCATGGGACAACGATGGGGGTCACTATTAGAGAAAGCCAACTGCCTCCAAACATATTAGACCAGTTGGAATGAGTCAACCAAAAAAGTCTAAAACACTGGCCCTATTCCAGTGCTCCTACGACCAGTGTGTTAGATACCGTGTGCGAGTACATGGATGTTTACGGACACAGCCACATCATCGAAACCCAAACAGTACTATCGGCACTTTAACCGGCTTGTCATTGTACCGAATATCGAAAACCGAAACGAATAGAGCGTGAAGATAATGATTCAGAGATGACGGTCTTGTCTCAGTTATATCTCGCTAGAATTGACGGGATGCCCCCCTCTAGTATGTTGGTAAATGCGACTGACATGCACAGGACTTCGGATCCTGTAACCTGTTTTGTTTTGCCAGATATAAGTCCTGAGAAAAAATCACAGCTGTAGCACCCTTTCCGTGCCTAACTGCTATGCCACCCAAAGGAAGGACGAGGGTTGGGATATTGCCAGGTTGCTCGGGCCTAGACAAGGCATGTAGAGAGGCAGAGGTCAGGTTAGAACCATGGACCTTTCAGTCCGTAAATTCGCGCTCAAACCACTGAGTCATTTCGCTCCGCCTTACTAAAACAGGTTAGGGAAACTGAGTTTCGATCGAGGCAGTTATGCGTAAGCTCTGGATCGTTTATTGTGATCGAGTGAATAATCGTAGTTCTAAAGTGTTACGAATTTGCGGTTTCCACCCTGAGACAACCTGTGCTGATTCGCATCTCACGAATCTCCGGGGTGATTCGAAAGCGTAACCTCCCAGCAGATATTTAAAGGCTAGGTCGTTTGACCGAGAGCGGCCGATCAGTAGTGGGATTTAGTTGCACTTGAACGGGATACAGCGCCACATATCCTCCTACCAGTCAAACAAAGAGGCAATCAACACGTAATATCTTATCTACGTGCAACTTGATCACCCAGCCGATCAGCTGGACGGTGTGGTATTCAACTATTAGCCGGCTGGTTTTGTGTTCGAATCCGAATTCAAAATTTGTGAGATGCGTCAAGGCGCGGGCTAGAGTGAGCCTCGAAAATATTTTCATCTTTCCAGGTGTGATCTCAGAGCAGAATACTAGTTCCCGGTCAGTAGTAAACCTGAGATCGAAAAAAAAGAAAGGTCAGCATATCTCATTGTGATCGTCTCCGGTTCTCCGAAGGTGCACCTTCTGGAAATATAGCTGCTCACTTTGTACGATTACGTCCAAGGTTTCAAAAAATTAAGACCAAACTGACGGGACTCAAGGCTAAAGAAAACAGGACGATTGTATCATCCTGCTGTGACGGTCTGCTGGCATGACTACACAGACACATTTGCTCGACATATTCACACGTAGGCAAACGTCAACCGCATCAAAGCCAGCATGCGCGCAGCTGAGGAGTTTTCCGCGCCCACTACTATGTTAACAAGGTGTGTGGCTTTCTACCCCGGTGTGGGCAAACGATCGGAGAGGTCGATAAAAAAGATTAAACATCATCTTTTTGAGGAAGAAAGATATGATTCCTCTGATAAACGGTTACAACCAATGAAGTAGTGCAACGCGACAAGCAGTCAGTCGGTTCACTTACACACCAACATGCGGTTAGTCGTTGAAAATAGGTATGAAACAGTGTTGAGGCGTTTCCCATCCAACAAAAATTCTACTGAAAACAAACATACACACGACCTTATAAACTAGACCTGTCGTACGAAAAAAACCTCTTTGGTAAAAGAGTACAGACAGTAAGTTTACATTATCCAATTCGAGAAATACTGCTTACAACTAGATTTGACGCTGCTCGTCGATTCGGGGCGGAAACGTTTGGAATGGGTGAAGAAACCGAAGGCGGTGTGCGTTCCAGAGACGGCTCGAGCGAATGAGCGGATGCTGACGACATTGGTGGTCTAACCGAATGAAGTGGAGCCGTGTCCGGCAGCGGGGTGGCTTGAGGATGCTGAACGCCATTGACATCGTAGAACTGTAAGAATGGGGATTATGGACCATGCGTGACAATACAAACAGATTCGTCGTTTAATTTATTGTTGGTGACGAACCATCGTTTGCCGAAGAGAGTACTGTTTTCCATGCCCAACTCAGAGTGGCGTAAACCGAGAGGTGG